TGCTCCAAAGTATTAACTGATATCAATTTTTTTCAATCTCCCCCATCATTAGAGGACGCGTCAATGACATCAACACCAAGGACCTTACCACAAATAATTACAAAATATTTTGAAGTAATTCAACATAATTCGCGAGCACTTTCATTACACATGCAACAGAAATTCAAAAAGTGAAAAATTGATAACAAATTTGTATGAAATGGGTTGCAGAGCTATTAGTCGACCCTTCATAAATGGTGTATTTGTAAATGATGGAAAGCTGAGGAGGCCTAAACAATGTATAAGTCCATGTTATACCAATGACAGATTAGGAGAAAATCAAAACCAACGACTCATTTCACATTTAAGCTAGAGGATTTATTGCAAGATAATAACATAAATTGACAAAACAGTCCTGTGTCCAAATGCCACTTCAATTTATGCTTTATTCATCATCTAATGTTAGTCTAGGACATTCCATTCCCAACAATATATAAACCCATAAAATTAATACAATTTTAACAGCACGACTCTTTTGTCAATTCATGTTGGATTATTTTCACTAATAATAATGTGTAAATAGACATGAAATATTTCTGACAGATCTGGGACTGAACATTTTCCATGTTTCAATGCTATTCTTATAAATTAACTGTCATTTCCACATTATCAGATTAACATTCAATTTTCTAATTTGATAAATTGTTATTTCTGCACTTTATAAAAAATTATATCTTTTCAAATGTAATGCTGGGTTTCATTTAGAATCCTTTTTAGATATTGTGGTAGTTTATACGTGCACTAACTGTGAGTGATTTTCCTTTTTAATAGACAGCCTGCTTTATCTATCTGTTGTCACAAAAGATTACAAGCTTGTTCTACGTTCAATTGAAGAAAAACACGAATGTTCATTTTGGTCATTTGAAATGAATTCAGAAGGCATTTTCTTGTACTGTCCTCCACTGATAACAAGACCGCTGAGGTCAATATGCTAATGGACTTGTCAGGAGAGGTTGATAGGAAATCCGAAAAAGATTTAGGATTCAATTAATTGAAACTTGATAAATCACACTGGGCGCCTTGGAAAAATAATCAACCCAACTTTCCCACTATGTGGTTATGTACAAGCCAGAGAAAAATTCATTATCCACTTGTTTTCATAACTTCAAAGCACATTTGTCGAATAAAAACTTTTGAAATTAGTGTCGCCATTTTCATCTGACATAATTTCATTTGTAACATGCCTGTTATCTTTGGCAAAGACTTCTGGGGGTTTGACAGAAGCGCTATGTTTTTCTTTGCCCCCTCCTCACTACTTTCTTGACAACTGTATCCTTACCTTTATATATCAGTGGGGATCACAGACCCAGAGAGAGAAGGAAATTGTTTTTAATTCATCTACAATAACTGTAGTTGTTACTTTGTTTAATTTCAAAATAAGTTGCTGATTACCCTACAAGCCTATTGGATGGCCAGTATAATGAAACAGTTGTTTACATTTTCCATGGGGTGCCAACTATTTCATTTTCTGTAGTATAAAGAAAAATTATGGAGTTAATGGTTTTTATTACAAATCTTACCCACAGCTATTAAATTTAGAGGATAGATTTACAAATCTGTCAGATTGTTTGAATTTGTTCATATGGTCACCAGGCTCTGTACAGGAACACCAGTCTTGTGAGAAATCGTTCCAACAATTTTTTGCATTGTACAAACACTGATACTTGTGATAAATATCAGACATCAATGTATTACATGCATAGTTAGCCTACAGTCCCCTTGTCAGAATAATTCTACCTTCTAGCTTCTTTCTGTATAAATCTATAGAATTTTGTGTGTTAATAAGATTGCAGATAAACAAATATTTAACTAGAGTTCTTAAACTTAATATTTAATAATCAGAAAAAAATTAAAAGAAATATAAAAATGAATTGGTTTTACGCTGACGATGTATATAAAAAGAAATCTGAGTTGTATAAAATATCAGCAATTTATGTAGGTGTATAATGCAGTAAGAAAACGTAACTAATTTTCAGGTGTTTACATATAAAAGGCAGTGTACTGACAACTGTTAATGACTTAGCCAAGATTTTATGATCATTCACCTGGTAATACAGGTATTGAATAGCTGTAATATGGGGAAGATGAGGTTTTAGTACCGTTGATACAGCATCTGACACGAAGAACCCACCTTTCTCTAATTAACGTGATAAACAGGTGATTTCAAGTAAACTGGTGTATATTTAGTCAACTATCTATCATGTAATTCTCTGTATCAATATTTAGTCAACCTACTCAAGTCCATTGATATATTCAGTCCATCTGTGTAAAATTCAGGGGATGTTAGCTTCTGTTTTTTAATATGCAGTCAACTATCTAAAGCTCCAGAGTTTTCTTTTTGTTTTTGGCGTTATTTTTCTATCATAGGTAAATTTGATATATTATTAGCCTAATTATTCAAAGTGCAATGAAATTTGCTGGAAATACTTTCTGGAAATATTCCATAATTTTTTGTACATAAAGTTAACTATCTTGAGCCCTGTTGATAGTAGCGGTAATTTGTGATATATTGGCCTCACTAATTTATTCATATATATATCACTGTCAATTTTCTTCACTTTCTTTTAATAACTGGGAAACATTTTGTGATATTTATTTCAACTTTGTAACGGCTCTTGAGAATCCCTATAGAATTGCCAGTTATTTCAATCTCCTGTTTATATTATATTGGTAAACATGCCATAATATCAATTTAATACAAAAGATGCTATTTACTCAGTGAAAATATGTTCTTGGTCGATTTTAATGGTCCTCTAATTACTAATAATTAACTAGGTGTCACTTTGGCTAAAAAATTTGTGAATTAAGAGTCTTAATTGTTGTTTTTGGAATAACAATTAAAACCATTTTTGAATTCAAATTTAATAAAGTGTAAATAATGACATTAGAAGTTTTTAAATTACACTGTATCAGAAACATTCAATTCTTACACCCCTTTGTGAAGACAAAGCTATTTATCATTACTCTGTGGCGATTCAGGTTTTCTCCTGAATATCAGTCAATATAAGTGCACGAGTTTCTCTCAAATCAGAATGAATATCTTTATTCATGATTCACAAATAAAATAAAATATATCTGGTATTCAACTGGTATACAAAGTGAATTTCATTTTTTTGAAATTGTTGCACAAACTTTAAAACATCTTCTATAAACCCATGTAAACTTTGGGGTAAATTTGTGCCAGCATTATATAACAAGCTCTATTGAATAAGACTCTGCTGCCAGGGTTTTTAAGTTATATTGTAGCAACAACTTTCAATTCTTACATCCTATCTGGTGCTATAATTTACTGATATCCACATTAAATAAAAATATGACAAGTACAAATCAAATAATTTCTATAGCTGTGTGCAGAAAGCACAAAACAGCAGAAGCGAAAAAATAAAAAAATAAAAAAAAAACATTTAGATTTATCTACTGTGAAATGCTGTATTTTTCCAACATGGTGTTGACTATAGAAATACATGTTGTGCAATATAGGTGCACATCTGTGGCGAGCTGATAGCAATAATACCTACCGCTACGCCAATCTTAGATCAAGGAATCGCATTCCGAGGAACACCTGGTCATATCTAGTCTAATATGTTTACTTTAGTATATTTCCGATGTATTCAATGCTTTGAAAGATGTAGACTTGTACAAGGATATATGATGTTCTAATATCAGAATTATTTTTTTTCAAAACGCTAGATTTTGCATCATATCATTGTTAATGTTCTAAGACTTCAACGTACTTTACTAATCATCATATTTAATCCATCTATTACTTGCACTGCTTTCAAATTACATATAAAGTACAAGCTGAAAAGTTCTCTCAAAATTATTTTATAAATCCTATATACAAATGAATCATTCTCATAAAAGCCTGAACCATTCCACTACCTTCTCAACCTTGAACCGTTCCATTATCCTAACCATCTTTTACATAACCTATAACTTTTTATAAAAACCTCAATCATTACATTCCATTAGTATTATATGCATTAGTCCATTTCAATATCTTAAAAAGTTAACTAGTTTACCATTCCAAAATGACTTATCAAGTTGTTATCATAACTTCTATAATTGTCTATTTTGATTTTTCACAACTATTATGAAATTTCATATATAGACTACTTTAGAATCACCTTTCTCAGTAAGTATTTTAAGACATTGATTGATTGAATGACCTTCATGGTCTTCAGACTGACCATTAGGTGAAATGGCCAGAATCAACTTTATGGGATAGCTTCGGACTAAACCTGCCTTCTGATTTGAGACAATAGCTTTTTAAAACCAAGTAGCACTGGCTTTCCTTGAAGATTATAATGATCGGACTACTGTAATGGCTGGCCCATCCGTCACTCTGACATGTAAAGTTTAGGTAGAAATGGCCACTCCTGACAGTAGCTTTACCGAAGGTCCATCTGACCCTCTGGCCATACTACAGTGTATAAAAAGAGGCTTTTTTGAAGAGACTAAAACATAAAACTACACATAAAGAGATGTCATGTTTTGCGTCCAGATATAAATGGTATAAGTATCACGTATGGTTAGTTGAGATTCTATCTCATTAAGACTTAGGTTCCAACAGTCCTGAAACTACCTTAGACATCCCTACTTTTCTGTGTTTCTTGCTTTCAAAAATGTTTACTTAAAAAGTTAATAATTCTAAATGATCTTGGGAACTTAGGTAACTTTTTCATTACACAAAAATTCACAGTACATAATTTTGTATGGTAGACAGACAACATATACATTGAATTCCATCAAGTTTTCAGTTTTGTTGTAAGAAAAATTATTCTGTGCTAACAGGTAGTGAAATGGTTATGAACACCAATAATATACATCAGTCGGACCGCGTTTGACCACAAAGAGTAGACAATTTCACAACTCCTTTATGTTTCAAAAATTTGACTGTTGCCCTCTGTCCTTTCGTAATCATTGAATTTTGATAATGATGTTATATATTATAAACTTACCATATAGTCTTGGGTCATACTGGAAGTGATCACCATCCAGACGACTCTTTTTCAGTTTCTCCAGAGTTTCTGGGCTGGCATGGATGTGTGGGTTCCTCTTGGGAGGACGACCAGGTCGGGCACTGCAGAAACAAAGCAATATATGGTAAGAATAAAGAAACATAACTGTATGTTTAAGTATCATAAAGAATGGTCTATGTCTTCCACAGAGGTAGGAAAAAAAATATATTTATGAAATCAAGATGCCACCATATCAAAATAAGTAAATTACCATTTATTATATGGCATTTTATGACATTTTCCACGATGTTATTTCTATTTCATACAATTACAAAATAAAAATACATAATTTTTTGTAGGCAAAGATAAACAGATATCACGCAGTTTAAGTTCTACATATCAAAATTGGGACTGTTATAAACCTGCATTTTACTAAATGGTGCTATCTAGAAAATGTAAGCGCAAAATATCAAGACGAAGGAGGAACTTGAGAAGGGAAGTAACTCAAAACAGAAAACTATGACTTGTTGACTTTAAGTGACTGTGTTGTAAGGATCTTATTAAGTTAATGAATCTGTATTTTCTTTGACAACAATTAATATATATTAAAGCGAACTCTGAATGGAGCACAGAAAATTCAGTTTTAGAAGATAGTATTCCAAACAAAACTTAATGTACATAGTTCCATGACGATTTGTTATACAACGCTGAAAAGATTTAAGTATGAAGTCTTAAGAACTTGCTGACTTCAGTGCCAATCTGATAATTGCAGTTTGGTGCAGAGTGATATTTAAATTTTGGGATTAAAGGTGACATACTAGACAGGGTAAGGAGCAGTGCACATGTGGATTGGGGTACATTAGGCAGCGGAAATTTAATGAGAGACAGTTTCTTCAAAATGCTGCCACATTAGAAAACAAGAAAGTGCATAAATATCGTTTAAGAGTTACACAAAGTGCATCTGACCTTGGAGATTATGTATGTCAATAGCTAGAGAGTCAGATACAGAGATACATACCATGAAAAAAATTTAGGATGATTTATATCAAATTTATTTGATACAAAACATATCTGATAATTCATTCCACATTTGAAATGTAGAGGGAAAATGAAGAAATTATGCCATTCCGGCTTATTAGTATTTCAGTGAACGACCACATTAAATTGTTCCCGGTGTGAGTGAAGGCTTGGGGGACCAGATTTAATACATTTGTCGAGTCAATGTTTTCAGGACTCCACAAGAAAATGGATACACAGAAATCTTTTTAACGTTTACTTGATCCACAGTCATGATATAATTTCTTTTCTTTATACCCAATACAGTTGTCTTCAGCATGTAAGTAGATATACACCTCAAAACATCAAAGTAAAAACCAGTATATTGGCAATATCAGGGATTTATAACACCAGAAAGACATTTATATAAATCTCTGCTTTGAAAATATTTTTTACAACTTTGACAGCAAAAATATGTAACTTAAGTCAACAAAATCTTCCTGAAGTCCACTGATTTTTTAATTTGTAAATGCCACAACCTATTTTTGATTTTCTCTGTGATAGAACTTGTTGAAAGTATAAATAAAATGTAAAAAGTATAAAGAGTTGAAAGTTGTAAGAGTTGAAAGAGTAATTAATTATCAAAATGGATATTCCCTTTTGAAGATAAAATTATTTCTCATTATCATAAACCCAATTAGCAGAAATCTTTGAATTCAAACAAACACTTTAAGAGAAATATAGAAAATTAATTTTTCATTTGAAATTGATATGTATATCTCTATACTTGGGGTGGAGGGTAACTTACATTGAATACTCATTACCATAAAAATCATTAAATACTATACTTATATTACTATCACACTACCAGATTCATATACAAAACACTAAAGCTCTAAACACCTCCGTTAATGGTACCAAGGAATTCAATTTGGAAATGAAGGCCTTTTAATATCACTTTAATTCCAGGGTATTTGGTCAAACAGTTTCATCCATTCATTAAACAATACACACCTATCATTGAGAAATTTCTACTGTATCAGAAGATTTTCAATTTCAAGTAAATTGTGAAAATGTCCAGTATTAAAGAGACATTTAAAACATAATTTAACATATTATCATAAAATATATTGGGCCATAATTTTTCTACCATGTGACCAACTCCTTTGTGATCGCAGATTGAAAAGCGTATCATTTGTGTTGACAATAACACATGTGGTTTACCTCCATAGCGGAGGACTATTTAATGTACCCAAGATATAAAAAAGAAATACACTACTAACTTGTGGTATAATTTGAGGGCCAACAGAGAATTAGAAAGGTATACTTTATCTGCAATTAGGGAACAAGGGGCTAGTCCCTGGCAGAACTAACAGCAGTCCTAGTTGTCAATAATAGAACGGGTATCATTTGCTAAGACCTGGTCAATGGGTGTAGGAAACAGGATCTACCCAGGGTACTATATCCAGGTAGGTTGTTCCAATAAACAGCTGTATCTTGTTACAAATTCTACAGATTCTCCCTCTGGTTGTAAGAAGACACTATGAATGAACGACTATTGGATAAATTGTGTGTTCAACCATGGGTAAACCATGTTTGACTATTGAGTAACTGTCAGTGTAGGATTATAGGTGTTTACTTGGGTAGTAATACCATAAACACTTCCCTATCAAAGAAATATTATCAGGCACATCTGTGAACAAAATTTATAAAAAAAAAAGGGAAAGAAAAATGACAAGAATATGTTGTACTAATTGGAAGACCTGTAACAACATCTCCTTTAACATAATGGTTACCCTCTGTCAGACATGATAATTTAAAGATTTTGTGTCCCAGTGCCGTTTACAGGACAAGTCTGACTTGGATGTCATTACAGCAATTGCTGTATTGGTTATATTTAATGTAAGATTCATCATCTTTGGGGGAGGAGGAGAGGCTCACAGTAGAAGATTATGGAACAGTTCAATCATGAAAAGGGGGTCTGCAGGTCATCTGTTACAATTGGGGTCTACAGGATATGATCTGTCATGACTAGGGATCTACAGAATATTACTTTCATGCTTGGAGTGCTATGGGACATTATATGTCTTTATTGAGGGTCTAGAGAATATTATTAATATGATTGGGGGTCTACAGGTCATCATATTTACTGTCATGATAGGGGGTGTGCAGGATAATACTATCATGATTGGGGGTCTACAGGATAATACTGTCATGGTTGGGGGTCTACAGGATAATACTGTCATGATTGGGGGTCTACAGGATAATACTGTAATGGTTGGGGGTCTACAGGTAATCATTTTTATTGCCTTGATTGGGGATTTACAGGATATGACTATCCTTGCTGGAGATCTACAGGAGAGACTGTCATGATTAAGGTTCTACAGGATACCTACTGTCACAATTTGGGACCTAATCCTCAAGATGAAAATTTCAGGAACTTCAGATTTCATAAAGAATAAGATCACATACTAATAAAGATAATGATGATACAGACATGTTCTTCTACATACATGCATAATCAGACATCTGCCTGACCCCAGGTGATCTGGACAGGTGGTTGACATGAATATTCCACCTTGTCAGAATTATTATACACCAACATTGTTACAAATAAATCCTTTTTTTATCAATTAAGATTATGACACACAATAACATCTATTGAAATGTCAAGAACAAAAATAAACTATGAAACTGAAAATATGCCTATTTATCAATAAAGTGCATGCACACTTTGTCTCTATTAGGACACTGTTGATAGACATCACAGTTGAAACTCTCCAATTTTTTCACAGCAATTTTACGCAATATTACCATCACCACATTGTACTATGAAACCGTTTGTGAAGATATAGCTTGGCATGACTAATTTGTAGCAATATTTGCCATTTTCTAATTTCCTTGTCCAATTAAGACCAGAGATCACACTAGATATTAGTAATTTACCTGTTGGAAATGAGAATTATTGATAACTATTTCAACATAAATCATTAAATTTCTTTCTGTATCTGAAACATCAGTACCATCTGACAGCTCACAGACGTATTTTATTATAGACCCGTTTGTGCAGTTTCGTTTAGAAATTCTCTCTAATGATAAAAATTTGCTTAAAAAAAGGAAATAAATGTTCGTAAATTTACGAAATTTAATGGGTATTACTGTCAAATGGGGCTACCTCACATACATGCCAAGTTTTCTGCTTGTACGGCCAATTAGAGAAGAATGAACAAGTAAAAGTTTCATTTTGCCTCGTTTCTTTAAGTGTACTGGTAGTTACTTTTATTCACTTTGTACAAACAGCCGTCATATTCAATGATAATAAAATGTATTTTAACCGTGCGACCCTTTTCCAATTCATTTAATTCAAATGGAGGAAGCCACTGGCTTATGGATGCTGTGTTACACATTCAATTTCACATCTTCAATAGAAAAGCAAACCGTAGATTTATAGCATCTCATCCTTTGCCTATTGACACTTCTACAGGTGATACATACCTTCTCGATTTATTTTGGATGCCATTTTAATTTTTAATATCTTTTCTTTTCATGGATGAGCAGATCAAATAGAATAGCAGTGCACTGAACCATGTCTAACAAGCAAAACCCCCCTCCCCTCCTATAGTCGATTAGATCCCTGCAAACCAAACATTCAGATAATAATTGATAACAAACATCGCTATAGAAAATTGAATGAAAAAAATCTCACAGAATTTCCAATTCCAGTATTGGCTATTAGGGAGCAGGTGCAAATAGCTTAAATTGAATTTTTGCAAGATAAAAATAAAAAAAGAAGATATCGGTGAAAGAAACAGGGATGTTGGTGAGGCACACAATCCTGCACAACTCTCTCCTCACAATTACAATAGAAATGGAGCGAACTTCTTTGTGCCCGTTTGGTATCAATTATATCTCCCAAGTCCTATGGACGAGTTCAACATGTAACAATTGAATCTATACAAAAGACGGAAAACTTCTTCATGAGGCTGTCTTTTGATGCATTCGTCTCCTGAAGTGTAAGTTTACCTGACACTCACAAAGAGATGTGTTCTTTTGTAGAATAACCCAAGTGTTGTAGAGTTTTCACCCTATCTTTTTGCATTGGCTACATTAGCCTTTTTCTGTGATT